GTTAAGGTTTAGGGTTTAGGGCTTAGGGCTTAGGGCAGCAAATCCTTAACCCGACATCCCTAAACCCCGATCACTTCTATCTCTCCAGGTTTAGGTTTAGGTTTAGGGTTTAGGGTTTAGGGTTTAGTTAAGGTTTAGGGTTTAGTTAGGGTTTAGGGTTTAAGAGTTTAAGGTTTAAGGTTTAAGGTTTAAGGTTTAAGGTTTAAGGTTTCAGGTTTAAGGTTTAAGGTTTAAGCTTTAAGGTTTAGGGTTTAGGGTTTAGGGTTTAGGGTTTAGGGTTTATTAGGTGGTCCGCACAAGCATTCCTCCAGTTAAAAACTGCATTTGGGATGTTCCCTGGCTATGGCTTCAAGCTCAACAAATGTATGGCTTAGGGTTAGGGCTTGGGTTTTTTGTGTAGGTGAAATGCAGCAAAAACCATGAAAAAATGCATTTTCAAGTGTTGGGACATGGTTTACGCAGCAAAAGTCATGGTATTTACACCATTCCTGCGGTTTCATAATTACCAAAAACCATCAAACTGCAATTTTTCCTGGAAAAATACAATTTTCATGACTTAGTGTTTAGGGTTTAGGGTTTAGGGTTTAGGGTTTAGGGTTTAGGGTTTAGGGGTTTAGGGTTTAGGGCTTAGGGCTTAGGGTTTAGGGTTTAGGGTTTATTAGGGTTTGCATTTTGCTTCACACTAGGCTTATTACAAGGCTCAACTTTTCAGCTAAAAGTATCCCTTCCATCTCCTTCCAATTCCCCTTCACACCCCTCCACTTTCCTTTCCTTTGTCTCCTTACCTGTCCCTGCCGCCCCCCCCCAAACCGTCCTTTCCACCCCCCTGGCACCTTCCCTTTTCAGGCCATTTTGGCCTAATGGCAAAGAAGGGTTTAGGGTTTAGGGTTTAGGGGTTTAGGGTTTAGGGTTTAGCGTATAAACCCCTTAAACCGGCACACCCAAAAAACATGGTGGCGTGGTGGTGTGCCATATACTGCCATGTCATGCTGGGCTTCACTGCACTCTACTGCACTGCACTGCACTGCACCTTTTTTCTCCACTGCTGGCCTCACTTACTGCCACTGGGTGAGGGCACTCTGGTAGCCAGCTGAAGCTTTCTCAGCCCTCGTTCTGTCCATCTTCTCCTGGTATCGCTTCTTTCGAATTTCTTTTTCAGCTTGATACTTTGGCTTCCATTTCAGCTTCAAGGCCTCCTTCTTTTCCTTCTGCTGCTTCTTCTTCTCCTTCTCCTTTGCCTCCTTCCTCCTTGCCCTTTGCCTTTGCTTCTTCAGCTTTTCCTGCTCCTGGGACCTCACCCTCTTCTTGTTCTTCTGTTTCTTCTTGCTGGGTGGCTTCTTGACCTTCTTGTTCTTCTGCTTGGCCTTTGGCTTGGCTTTAGGCTTGGCCTTCAAAGCCTTCAGAGACTTCTTCTTGTTGTCTCTGGCCTGCTGCTTGGCTTTCTTCTGTTCAAACTCCTTCACCTCCTCCATGCTGAAAGCTTCTGCCATGCTAGCAGCTAAATCAAGCCACTCAGTCTCCAGTCCAGGAGAGCTGGAGGTGCTGCCAAACCCTTTAAGGAATGCCATCTTGATTGAGCCAGAGCTGCTACATGACAGGGGGGGAGGGGGGGGTTGAACCAAGGACTTTTCAGGAGTAGCCCCTCCCCCACCCTCCCCATCCCCCCCACCCTCCCCCCACCCAAGCCTTCTACACACCGTCCCCCAAACCCCTAAGCCCTTTAAGTTAAAAGCCTCCTAAGCACCCTAAACCCCTAAGCCTTTCCACCACCCAAATACAGGCAAGGCACATGCTTCAATAAGCCAGTTGGGAGCAGGGTTAACCGGTTAACAATCATCAAGGAAGGGCTTAGAGGCTTAGGGTGTTTGGGGTGTCAATGGTGTTTGGGTAGGTTTTTTTCCTACTATTTGGTTTTAATCAGGGAACCCAAAAAGAAAAAGGGCAAAAGGGTACTACTGGGGGAACCTGGCCCTCGAAGACTCACTAAGGCGTCCTGCTTTCGCTGGATCATGGACTTCCTCAGCAGAGCGCTCGGCGAGTCGACATCATGTTGCTCTTTGTTGATTCAAAAGCAACAGCATGTAGGTGTCTAACGTTTAGGGTTCTGGGACAAAAGACCCTGACGCCAGAGATCCGGTATAACAGCATCGTTTGTTCGAATCTCTTGTCTTTGCTTGACACCCTAAACCCTACACCCTATACCCCAGGCCCTAAACCCTAAACCCTAGACCCTAAGTCTATTGAGGGTGAAGGGTTTGGAGGCTTGGCGGTTACCGTTTAGGGGCTTGCTGAGGGTCTCGGGTCTGAACTAATTTAGGAACCAAAACAAGCAAAAGCAGAAGCGGTGGGAGGGACATTCCGATCTTACTGCCCCAAGCTCTTTCCTAAGCATATCCCCAAAACCTCAAGGCTAAAACCTGAAACTCTAAACCTCTGAAGAACCCGCTCCGAAGCCCGATAGTTAAACCCTAAACCCGACACTCTTACAGAAGCCCGATAATAAGAGTTCGAACCGTTAAACAGCCCTCACAGAACCCGAAGCCATCTGTTGCAAAATCCCAAAGCCCTACCACACGACCGGCCAGTCTCTCAAAGTCCCTCAACCTGAAACCCCTGAACCCTAGATTAGGAATTTAATGTTGAGGGTTGGGGTCTGGGTTTAGAACTGGGGTCTTATGGTTTAAAGGTCTCAAAACAAAAATCCTAAATCCTGAAACTTGCAGCCCACTGCTGCCAGATCTCTTGCTCTCCGACAAGGTCTTTGTAAGCTCGTCCAGCTTCCCGACCACGGAATTCAGCTGCTCCTAAAACAGAGACAGAGGTTTCGGGTCTTGAGACCCTAAACCCTAAACCCTAAACCCCAAACCCTAAACCCTAAACCCTAAACTCTAAACCCTAAACCCCTAAACCCTAAACCCTAAACCCTGGCAAAACCTGGAAGCTGAAGCCCTTTAGGAAAGTTAAGCACTTCAGCGCTCAGCCCCCTAAGCCCTAACCCTAAACCCCTAAAGCCTAAACCCTGAACCCTGAAACCCTAAACCCTAAACCAAGGGTTTAGGGTTTAGGGTTTAGGGTTTAGGGTTTAGGGTTTAGGGTTTAGGGACCCTAAACCAAGCCCTAAATCCTGCAGCCTAAACCCTAAGTTACAGGAAACTACAGGTGGGGAGTTTAGGGTACACAGGGCTTCTATAAGGCTTCCGAAAGGTATATAGACCTTCTATAAGGCTCCTATAACGGTAGCTACCCACCTGAAAATGTCCTAGACTAAACCCCCAAAACCCCGAAAACCACCAAAACCCTCAAAACACCCAATACCCCCAAACCCCCCAAAACTAACAAAACGCCCAAAACCCCCAAAACCCCCAAAACCCCCCAAACCCCCCAAAACCCAAACCAGAGACCCCGGAGCCCTGGTGAATTTGGAGCTTGCATGCTCAGAGTGCACCGAAAGGCCCAGCCATCATGCGAAAGAAAACCCGAAACCCTAAACACTGAACCCTAAACTCCTAAACC